TATATATATGCACCTACACAAATCCAAAGTAGGTATAGAGGCACTAGCGGGTCTTGCAAAGCATCAGCATTTTATTCTCTCAGTGTAATTTGTATCTTAAATACCAGCGGCATTTGAGACTGATGCAAGTCAGCACAGTGCCAGTATTTATGCTATATTTTTGTTCTTGGTAGCAAAGCTGAGATTTATAAAATTTTGTTTTTTTTACTAGAAGGAAAAGTTAGTGGCTTTTTGTTGTAATATTGTATCTCCTACAGACCAAAATGTTTCATTTAAAATATAAACGGGTAGTAGAGTGTTTTCTGTGGTTCTGGGCTTACTGTTTGGAAGCACCTATAAATACATTTGCACCAAGCATCTATTCTACTCCTTACATGCACATATCTCCCAAAACAAGTCCCTGTATCAAAAATACCACAAAATGTTAAAAAAGCAAACAAAAAAACATACACTTGGTATAAACACCTAAATGTTTTCTCCTATATTCACCATTTTTACATTTGTAATTGGCTTGTGTTCTTAGACCAAACACAGCAGAGAACCCTTTATAAAACTAAACACAGTGAGGGAGAGTTAACATTTCTGCCAGATTTTTATTTCTGTCTATGATCCCCACTTGGGAGATTTTGCTATAAGATACAGGTGGCACAGGTGTTACTGGGACAGGAAAATACAGACAGTAAGAAAAATATTGCTCTAGTTCTAGCCTTATCCACACTCTTCTGAAAATGAGTTTTTGTCTGTTACCACATTGGAACCATTATTTTCTCTACGGAGGAAACCTCCCCAATAAAGACATGATGGCAAAAAACTGATATATTCTGTAGCCCTTCCCAGACTGATCCAAAACCAAAAAATACATTTGGCTAGAGTTGAGCTTTAAAGCCCTAGCCAGCTTTGTGTTGGCTGTCTCACCACCACTCTTCTCCAGCATAAAGCTGCTCCAGATGTTGTCTGCTCCAGTTTTGATAAATTGCCCCCATAATGTTTACTATTGCTATCAAAGACCTTAACTGCTTCTCATCTATTCACAGATAATTTCCCTAAAAGATTGTAGCTCATTGAGTTGGTCTTTTGCAAACTTGAGTCATGCAGCCATTTTTCTTCCCTCTGTGGTGGCCTCCCATGAACACCATTTTGGTGAGTGTTTTTCTTTTTGTGAACAGAGATTTTGACAGGTTAAAGAGATTACTGTAGTTTCTTATTAGTACCCTTGGGCTCCCTTTCACCTCTATTGTTGCAGACTGGCGGTCTTGCCATTATAGCAACAACAGTTACATATTTTCTTCATCTGTAGAAGGTTTTTATGTGGGTCAATGAACACCCAGGTTTTTCTCGAAGTTTTGTTTTTAGGTATGCTTTTTTGCTTTTTGCTCGTCTACAATGCCTCTTAGGTCCTCTGAAATTTATTTTGGTTTTGGTTATGGCTCATATGATAACATTTCCAACAGCCAAACTTTATATGGGGCACCTTCAAACCACATCTCTAGTCTCCCCTGAATTTAACAAAAGTCAGGTTTTCAATCGACTTTTGTTGAAGGATCTGGTCTGAAAGTTCTGGACTGAACAGTGACTGTAGTCAATCAGTTTTTCAGGTATTATGACAGTGGTGAGTGGATCCCCCTGGGGGAATCAAGTTTTTGAAGGAGAAAAAAACAAAAAGTGTATGGCCAGCTTTAGAGTTTTACCTTTCTTTTTTTACCACTTAGAATCTTTGTTTGGATACACTTTGTTTAAAAAAGGTATGCAAATGTAAATGTGTAGGAGCCATTCATGCAAACTTTTAGGTAATTACCTTCTCTTATGGTCTGTTAAAGTAGATCAAAAACCAAAACCTCTTTCTCATTTTGGATAGCATAGCGTTAAAATCAGTCATTTTTTTTTCTTTGTCATCTGTGTCTCATTAGGGAGATTTTCCTTCACTTCCTGTCCTGTAGACTCAAAAGGAAGTGATAGAATATGTTTCCAATGTGAGGAAAATTTTCTCTTTGATAGTTATCATGGGAACAAGTGCCTATTAAAGATTTTCCCTTAATTCCTGCTCCTGTGGCAGCTCAATATTTTGGAACTGCCTTCACACTCATTCCCCATGACATAAGTGATTGGGGACATAGGCAACAATAAAAACCCCTCACCATCCAAATCTGAAAAAAAATGTATCGCCTGTAGTTATACTTTAAATATACCATTAACAGCGGTTTGATAAGTGCAAACACTCCTGTTTATTCTGCCAGAAATCTTGTCATCTGATAACTTCCTGTGCTCTCTGTCTGTGCTTACTGTTAACATTGTTTCCAGATCTCTGTGGACTACATAATGCACCTTCTCCTCATAATACCATCTCATCTCCTGTCCCAGGGTAACAACACTGTTCTTCAAAAGAAACAGGACAGTGAGTGAGTGTTGTTATACTAGGACAGGATGTGTTTTACTGGCGGGATTGACAGGTGCAAAAAAAGAAAACAAATGCAGCCATGACATGTAAGATCTGGTAAGCTGCAATATTTCAAATTTTTGTTCCTGGGTTTTGATCTGCTTTAACATCATATAACTATCTAAATAAAATAAATGAGCACAAGAGATGTGTCTGTAATTTCTGGAGTAAAAGCTGATGGTTACTGTTAAGTTTCTTAGATGATAACATTGTAGGTAAATCATGATGAATAGCTGTGTCAACAATATGATATTTTGCAGGACCTCTAAATGCATTCTTTCTCTAAAAAGCCTTCTCAAGCCCAGGAACACTGAAGGAAGGCTGACAGATGGACTGTCACTTGTGAAACATTAGTATACCTAGATTTACAATGAACAGAACATGAACAAAATATACACATTTTTATTAGAAAATTGTGTTTAATATTTGCCATGGGATTCTACCTGTCCATTAAATCCAGACCCATCTGGAGACTTCAGGAATTCATCGTAAACTTGGTTTGCTCGACTGATCACCATAGCAACAGAATCCTGGTATTGAGGAGAGGAGATGGCCAGCAGTGGCAAGGCAGCTAATGGAATGTGATCTTCACTAATGTTTAGGCAGTTCTCATCATAGCTGTAAGGGTTAAGGCTGAAGAAAAAAAAAGAAAAAAATGCTATTTACTATTCACGAACCTTTCAATAACATAGTACATAAATCAAAGCACAGAGAAAACAAATGATGTGGCCAGTGAAAAACTAATATGCTAAACAAAAAAATTATATATATATATTATTTTCCCCCCTAAATATATCAAATATATTTTCCATTGGCAAATGCACATTTTGACTTTTTTTATAATCGGGTAAATAAATAACA